CACTTTGGCGGATCGACATGGATTATAGACGAACTGACATAATAATATGTCTCTGTTTATTTACCATTTGTAGCACAGTATTAGATGTTATTTGTCTATTATAGATTTTATCACTTGAAACAATTATATATTTTTTAAATTTATAAAAATGAAGAATCAATAAAATCAGCATATACAAATTAAGATTTTTACATGTTAAAGCTGAGAATAAACTTTAGAAGATATGGCTAAATTATAATCATACCTCTCTCTATAATCACACTATATATAAGATAGGCATGTGGGAAAGCACTCGTTTCATTCGCAATTTTGCGTACATACCCCTTGTCTATTGGCTTTTTTATACCATTTCAAAGCTTCATGGATATTCTGAGACGTTCCTTTTCTATCTTCATAGCAGAAACCAAGTCGAATCATTGCTTCAATGTTTCCCGAATTTGCAGATAACAAATAACTCTCGAATGCTTTATTATTATCTTTTTTTGTTCCTGACCCACCATCTTCATAACATACACCAACCAAATATTGACTCTCGGTATAACCACCCTTTGCTGATTTAAGGAAGTATTGAAATGCCTTAATTTCATCTTTTTTTGCTCCTTGACCCCATTTATAACAAAGACCAAGATTATATTGGGCGATTATACTACCCCCGTTTGCCGCTTTAAGATACCATTCAAATGCTTTATTTTCATCGCTGACTGTTCCTTTACCAATTTCGTAACATACGCCAAGATGAACTTGTGCGTCAATGTGTCCATTATTTGCTAATTTGAGAAATAGCTCAAATGCTTTAATCTCATCTTTACCTATGCCCGTGCCATTTTGGTAAAATTGCGCGAGATTATATTGGGCATCTTCATGACCTCCTTCTGCTGCTTTGAGATACCATTCAACTGCTTTGAATTCATTTTTGTCAGTTCCTATCCCATTTTCATAAAACGCGCCAAGCACATTTTGTGCGCGAAGGTGTCCATGATTTGCTGCTTTGAGAAAGTATTCATATGCTTTTTCATAGTCGCGTGTGCAGCCAATTGAGTTATAATAACAGCACCCCAAAGCATTGATTCCTGATAAATTTCCATTCTCTGCTGATCGAGAATACCAGTAATATGCACTACAATTGTCCCAATTCCATCGTAATAGCATCTCGCTAGTAAATATTGCGCATAGGCATCTCCACGATCAGCCGAGTTTTGATAGTACTGGAAGGCGATATTATCATTTTTATTAACTAGAATTCCATAATTATGAAGAAACCCCAACATTGTTATATGTTGAACATTTTCCTCACGAAAACTTTTGAAAAATTCCGCGAGATTAAATTCACGTTCATTAATATATGCTTTTAGTTGTGTGGGGGTTCGGGTGGGGAAAATACACGAATCAAATAGTTTATAATAATTCTTCCATTTGTTGAACCTGGTATTTTAGATCGAGTGTCTTTAAATATAGATATAAATTCTATATAATCACACCTCGATATAATCACGCAGACTAGTGCGTGATTATATGGAGGTATGACTGTGGATTGGACAAAAATTGTAAAAAATGGGAAAATCATCAAAGGATAAACGCGATATTTTCTATCGGCTAGCGAAAGAACAGGGATGGCGTGCACGTAGTGCTTTTAAACTTTTAGAAATTGATGATGAATTTCATGTGTTAAAAGGTGGGAACTAATATAATCAATTAATATTAATCGATTTATTTTGATTCTAACTAACACTAACTAATAATAAGGAGTTAAACGCGTGGTTGATTTATGTGCTGCGCCCGGAAGTTGGTCGCAGGTTTTAGTAAAGAGACTTAGGTTAGATAGATAAAAGAAAAACAATAATTATAATCTAGAGCTTGAATTATTTTCCGGATTTTTCTTGTCTATAGTGAAAACTCAAATTATGACGATGATGATGATAATAGTGATGCTTCTGCTAACAAAAAGCCATCACAATCTCCACCAAAAATTGTCGCCGTCGATTTACAAACAATGGCAAGAAAATTTAAAAGATATTTGAATATTGGTTTCTTCATTTTTTATTGATTTTGATTCTTATTAAACGACATAAAAGGCACCACTAGAAAATGTAATTCAAATAAAAGGTGACATAACCAAACAATCAACAGTAGAACAAATTCTCGGGTATTTCGAGGGTGAATTTGCAGATATTGTAGTATGTGATGGAGCTCCAGATGGTAATCGAAAGAAGAACGACAATTGAAATTTCAATTTTATTTCTTTTTGTTTGTTGGTTCGGGTTTTACCAATTTATTTGTATTTGTAAAAGTAATCGGACTACATGATTTCGACGAATACATTCAAGCACAACTGGTACTTGCCGCACTAAACATTACTACACACATCTTACGCCCCGGTGGCACATTAATCGCAAAGATTTTTCGTGGGAAGGATGTGACGTTGTTGTATGCTCGGCTATTAAGGTTTTTTGAACGTGTTACATGTGCTAAGCCGAGGAGTTCTAGAAATTCGAGTATTGGTATGAAGAGTTGGGATTATGGGATTGGATTTAAGGAGCGAGTTTTTCACTAATAGTGAATTCTATTAGAAGCATTCGTGGTTTGCCAGAATTATCGACCACCAAAAGATTATATTCCCACAATGACAAAGCCTATACTGGATTTATCTTATGGTTTGGCGAACCACTATTTAATAATAAATTCGATTTTTCAACAAAAGTTCTGTTAATTTTTTTTACCATTTTAAAGACGAAAATAATAAATTGCTTGGACCTTCTCGTCTTATTGTTCCGTTCGTCGCGTGTGGTGATGCAAGGTAATTTTTATGTCTAAAATTCTGATTTTCTTTTAAATTTATTAATTTATACTCTACGTATGTAGTGGATTCGATTCAGATCAAACATATCCTCTTGAGGAAAAAAGCCTTGATCCGCTACAACCACCAATAGGCGCACCATATCGTACCGCGATCACATTAAAACAACAAAACTATTATAACAAGATTCCATCCTAGACATGATTTTGAGTAATATAAAATATTTATTAGTTTTAGCTGTAGTGTTATTATACAAATTTATTTATATTTTGAATATGTGACACGTAAAGTCAACCCCATTAAGATATCTTATGACGTAATGATTAATCTGACCAATCAGAATTCTAATAATTCGGTCCAGAGCATTACATTAGACCAACTACCCTAATTTTAAACTTCAAAAGACTCCGGGTACAATACAGGGGTCTGCAATTAGAGGGATATTTTATATGGCCATTTACGGCCCCTCTTGTAACCAATTATATAGCACATAGCACAAATCGTAAAAGAAACGCGTATTTTTCAATAATTCTCTTCAAAAGAACGAATAAATAAAATCGTTCTTGTTCGTAAAACAACCAGACTCTCTAATATATTACAAGAAAATACAACCATTCAAAAAGCATAACCATGAACAACCCCACACCAGGGACCATTGAAAACCTGCTCAACGACGAAAATATTACGCGTCCACTTAAACTTCAAATTATACAAGTGCATTACGTTGGATTGCAAGTATACGTGCAGTTCGGGATTAGCGGACCGCCGCAAAAAACGTCATTGGTTACATTGTCGGATGGCGATAAAACTATGCAAGCCAGTTTTCCATGTGTGGTTATTGAGAAGGCTACAGATATGGCGTTGTTTAAACAGTATTTGATTATTAATATTAAAGATTATATATTTGGTAATCCTGGTCGCGGCAACCCTATGAAACCAATGTTGGTGAAAGAATTTGATGTGCTTGAGAATCCTGGTCATCGAATTGGAAATCAAGATCTGAGCGCAGACTTTGGCTCCTCCAACATGCTTCAGCAACCACATCAAAATATGCAACAGCCTCCTCGACAAATGATGGCACAGCAACATCAAATGCATCAGCAACAACAGCCATTTTCTCAAAATTCCTCTTCATATATGATGCAAAATGTTCAAAACGACGACGAAGCTCCATTTCAAATGGCCAATAACACGCGTACAAATTCCAATAAAATGGTTAATGACACCAAACGTGATCATCCTTCTTTCTTTCCCATCAGTGCGCTTAATCCCTATCAAAATAAATGGGTTATAAAAGCTCGAGTGATAAAAAAATCCGAGATTAGAACTTGGCATAATCAAAAAGGTGACGGAAAGATTTTCAGCTTCAACATCATGGACCATTCGGGTGAGATTAAAGTTGTCGCTTTCACCGATACATGTGAGAAGTTCTATGAACTAATCCAAGAGAATAATGTGTACACGATAAGCAACGCAAGAGTTCAAACTTCCAGATCCAGATCTTTCGATTCGACTAACGATTACGAAATTCATTTGGAAAAAAATACTAATATTACTCCATGTCAAGAAGAATCTTCGGTGCCAACTATTCAATATAATTTCACTACATTAGACAAATTAAACGATTGTGATAAAGATGACGTGATTGATGTTATTGGTATTGTCAAGGAAGATCTCGGCGTTTCTGAAGTATATTCTAAAAAAACTCAAAAGAGTATTATAAAACGTGAGCTTCTAATAGTCGATCAAACTCTTACCTCAGTAAAATTTGCAATGTGGGGAAAACCGGCAGAGGATTTTAAGGGAGAGGGTAATCCGGTGCTGGCAGCAAAAAAAGCTCGAGTTGGAGATTTTCAAGGCCGCAATCTTTCACTTTACGCAAACAGTATTTATCAAATTAATCCAGACATCCCAGAAACTCGAGCATTGCGCAATTGGTTCTCGTCGCTTACTCAACAAGAAACTTTCCAGACTCTTTCCAACTCAACGTCCGGCTCTTTTGGAAACTTGGAAAGAAAAACGATCGCACAAATAGTGGGTGATCCTCAGATAGGCAGAGGCGACAAGCCAGATTATTTTTCGGTAAAAGCCACAATCAGCTATGTGGACGAAAAAAAAACTTGGTATTATCCGTCGTGCCCCAATTGCAAAAAAAAGGTTATCGATAACGGAGACAACTTCTGGGCATGTGATAAATGCCAAGGTGATCCTATTCCACAACCTAAATACCGGTATATCTTCACTTTCGGTGTGTCAGATTCAACCGGTCAGATGTGGATGGCAACGTTCAATGAAACAGCTGTGAAGATTCTCGGCGTGGAAGCTGACGAAATGTATGAACTGTCCGTGAACGACGAGAGTGCCTTTGAAGAAGCATTTAAGTCGATGCAATTCAAACAGTTTGTGTTTTCTTTCCGTGCTAAAAGTGAGTACTATCAAGATACGGAGCGGATGAAGTATACCCTTGCTGATGTCCACCCACTCGATTTTGTCGCTGAGGGAAATACCTTGTTAGAGCAAATAAATCAATATGAATTCTAGGTGTTCTGCTATTTTTATACTTTTAATTACTTTTAATGTTTGTTTGAATATATCTTATAAAGAATTTTTTCTTAATAATTCAATTCTCACTATTGTTAGTTTAATCACCATCATTAGTATTATTTTTACTTTTGATTTTCTTTTTTAATTTGTAGCCAATTAAATAAAAATTCTGTAGTTTTATTTTCTTTAATAAACTTGTGATAATAAATCTTTACCATAAAGTTATATTAATATATAATGATAACTGATGTTTCTTAAATCAATTGAAAATCATATATCCAAAAGATTTTGATCTTTAATTATATATCGAATCATCATATATATTGTCATGATATGATATTTAACGAACAATCTTATTGGATAAGATTTATATTAATTATTATTGGATTATATTTATTAGTATTTCTATTGGATAGTTATTTTTAGATAGTTATTATTTTATTGGACAATTATATGTTAGATATCATTAATTCTTAAGTTTGTGTTAATATCAGCAATGATAACAACGACAGCAACGATGACAACGACATCAACACTCATGTTAACACCAGAAATGCCGATAACACTCATGTTTAATTAACTTAACAATAACAATAATAGAACCAGTTATATCATATAACATGTAATTTATATAAATATACCATGTATCTTAGCTTAGAAGAATAATCAAGTTGGAAAGTTAATCATGTTAGCAAGAATCAAGTTAGATAATTAATCAGTTTCTTGTTTGATAGAAACTTTGGATAACTTATAAAGTTATATTTGTATTGATTTTTGGTCTTGAAAGATAGATCGCTTATAATAAATCATTATTAATAACTTGAAAGACAGTCGCTTGATAAAACTTATTACTTGTTTCATTACTTTTGATAATTCTAAATAATATACAAAACTTAGTGAAGTTATTGGACTTCATTCTAGCTCGTCACAACAAGAACACATGTTATCTACCTTTAGTGATAAACCTTAGTCTCTCCCATTATAAAAACTTAATCTTTTTCACTATTATTTTAATAAAACACGTGATTAATACATCAAGAACTTAATATCAATAAAAATGGTAACAATATCTAAAATTTATTTAAGAAACTAATTTCCAATTATATGAAATTGAATTAATAATTATTTCAATAATAATTCGATTATTTCAATAATTATTTTTATAATTATTTCAACAATTATTTTATTTATAATTTAATTGGTAGTTTATAAATAATAATTTAGCTATAAATATAATATATATCTTATTATCAAGTAATTAAATTAAATATTTCTTTTATCTTTTTTTAGTTTATAATTTTTCATTTTTTTTTGAAAAAAATCAAATTAAATTCAAAATAAATTTTTAAACTAGTAATATTTATTTGTTATTTGTTTTAATTATAAAATTTTAATAACTTAAATTATTCTAAACTAGATAACATTTAGTATTATATAATTTTAGAATTTATTTTTAAATTGAATAACTAAAGAAAATATAATTATAAAAGAAATTTTTTTAATAGTTTTTTTAATTAAAATAAAAACTTTTTATAAATAAGTTTAAAATAATATAAATAATAAATTTTATAATACTAAATAAAAATAAAAAAATAATTAAAATTTTTTAGCTTTAAATTTTTGTATTAGTTCTTGAATAAATAAATAAAATATTAATATTTTTTATATAATATAAATAATTACTAATAAAATTATATATATAATTTTATTAATAAAATTAAAATTTTTGTTTTATATAAAAGTTTTTAATTTTATTAATAAATATTTTTTATTTTTATATAATATCAGAAATCGTAATTTAACAATTATATAATTTTATTTTAATTTTCTTGTAGCAATTTAATGTCACATTTTTTGTAATCAATTAATAAATTAATTATATTTTAATTATATGTAATAATACAAATCAATTTTATTTATTATATAATTTATATTATAATAATTCAAGCTGATACTATAATAGTTTAGTATTAGTATAGTACCAATTTGAATTATAATAAATATTAATTAATAAAATTATGTTTATATAATAAATATTTATATAATTTATTTCAAATTTAAACTAATTATATAAAAAGTGACCAAGTGTAAATGTTTATAACTTTTTATAATGCTTTTTTTAAAAATTTAATCAGTAATTTAATAGAATTTATTTTAAAAAATAAAGTTATTAATTTGGTTTTTTAAATTATATTTTTGTAAAATATTAAAAGATTTTAAAAATAATTCACTTTATTTTTGAATTATAATTTTTGATATTATATCAAATTAAAAATTATAAATTATATTTTAATATAATAACTAATAGAATTATAAATATATATATATAATTTTATTAATAAATATTTTTTATTTTTATATTAAGCAAAGATTATAAATTATATTTTAATATATATTTTTTTTGATTTTTTAGATTTTTTTAACAAAGTTATTTTATTTATAAATTATTACAATTAAAGTAATTTTATTAAAAAAAATCTAAAAAATCCAGAAAAAATATATAATTTATAATCTTTTTTTAAAATATATTTATTAATTAAATTACAAACTTTTATATACAATAGCAATCAAAAATAATATTACATCAAATTTATTAATTAAACATAATAGAATATGAGTTTTTCTTTTTATATAAAAGTTTTCAATTTTACTAATAATATTTTTTATTTTTGCATCAAAATAAAAATAATAACATATATTTTAATATAATTTTTCAGATTTTTTAGATTTAATCTGATGGAGCTGTTCTAATTGCATATAAAGTCAATTATTTTTTTATAATTAAAAACATATAAAAAAATAATTAACTTTATATGAAATTAAAATAGCTTTATCAGATTAAATCTAAAAAATCTGAAAAAAATATATGTTAAAATATGTAATATTATTTTCATTTTAATGTAAATATTATTAATAAAATTGAAAACTTTTCTATAGAGAAAAACCCGTATTTTATTATGTTTAATTAATAAAGTTTGACGTTGTTGCATTATTTTGATTGTCACTATAAGACAAAAATTTCAATTTTTATTATATTTATTAATAAAATCACACATGTGATTCCATAACTTTGTTAACCACTATATATAAATTTATCATCCATATGAATTTTCTTTTTGAAGATTTAGATTTAGCTACTTTAACAAAATCACAATATTTTATTTTAGAAATTTTTTGATTATAACTATTTCAATAATATAAAATACATTCTATATTTGAGCTAATCAATCTTTCTGTATTTAAAGTTAGAGTAGATATAAAAAATAATAAACTTGACATATCATTTGTATTATCTTTTAATTTGTATAAGAAACAAATTTATCTGCTAAAATTTTTTAAATAATATCTTATTAGTAAAAATCTTTGAAAATTAAAATACCTTTGGAATGCGCTAAGCGTTGTGAACACGTGATACATGTTTATCACAGGTTGATTTTACCGTTGGATTAGAAATAGAGTGGAGGGCTAGAGTATATGTAATTAGTGCTTCAAGATAGATTAAAGTATTTTTCATTTTTTTACGTTCGTGCTTCGGATTTGTTTCTCCGGACTCACAACGCTTTAGCGCATCCCAAACATGAACAAATTTTATTTTTACTCTTAAATTGTTATCCGATCAAACAAATATGACAATTCTATTTTTGATTTAGCTTGGTACGGGATCAATCAGTACATTTTTGCGTCCACCACCCGCAACAACCCGAACTCGCGTTTTCATATCAAAAGGATTTCCATCATAAGCAACAAACTCAGCTAAAGTCCCTTTTGTCAACCCATTAATTGAAGTAGTAGTAACATTATTATCTTCATAATCAGAATCCTTTTTTAGACCAAAGATTTTAGCCAAATTCCAAGTAATAAACCCAACTGCCTCTTTCTCGCTAATCTCACCACCCGAATCCTTCAACACCCACCCAGCATCCCAGACCAAATTTCTCGCGAGCCCCGAATCATCCACGCCAATTCCCAAAAGCACATTATTTGCATGTAGGATCTCAATCGCAGTGGTATTTGTCAACGGTGGCCCGGTTAACACGTGTTGCGCAGTCCACAGACCTGGAGTTGGACGAGGTGGTAATAATACAACGGGGATATCGTTTTCCGATAATTTTTCGGCTAGTAAATGTGCTTCAGCGCCACCAACAATAACTAAACGTAGTTTACCACCCTGTCGGAACACTTGTTTTTTTAGGCGGATGAGTGTGGCTATTTCGTCTTTATTGTTTGTGTAGATTGCTACAGGGATTTCACCACGTGCAGCTCGTCCATAAATGTTTGTAGAGGGGCTTTTGATGTTTGAAATAAAGACTTGACGAAGAAAAGAGATTTGTGATGAAACTGTGGTAATTTTATCTATTTGATGAAAAATAAAATATGGGAATTATTAGGGTATAAACAGAAAAATAAAATCATAATTAAGATTTACGTGATACTACCATCCAAGAAATAATTTCCAATTTTGAAATGCAGCGCGACGTGCTCCTTAATAACTACATTATCCTCGTCGTCAATTACTAAAATTTAGTATATGAGATCGAGAAATTTCAAATCTATGTTACGGAATGAAACGCAAATACTAACAGGGTAAAAAAAAAGTATAATACCAATTATCCCGCCTGTTTTAAATGCAACAGAAATTCCATTAACTACGCCCTCACTCGACAAAGGCGGAGTCACTGCACTAAGAATCCCAGCCTTATATGCCTCCTCCAAATGTCTACCGCCGAATTTTAATCCGTCAATTGCATAAACTAAGTGATCCGTGTCATTAGGATGGGATAGAGAAAGGACATTTCCGTCATTCGCGGTGTCTTCGCTGATTATTTCTGCTAGTCCAAGATCCGAGCAGACTGCCGTAATTCCCTAAAATGTTAACAACAAAAGATAATGACGACTTATAAATTAAGCGCTAAAGACAACGTATACATATATATACTTTACAGGCAACACATATCCACCATTCAAATCAATGACATCAATCGTATTAGAAACCGTTTCATCATTGCATGATACTCCTAGGCATTCAATAATCCCTTCTTTGACAAATAAGCTTATCAGTTCACTATCCGAGGTAATAGCATCAAGTTCAGAGTTTTCATCAAGATAGACCTTTCCGATATTTTTAATAAGGACAGAAGAGGCAGTGCGTGTTTTTCGTTGTTCGATTGGTTCTGAATTGGGGGAATTTTTTGATAATGGTTTTTTTTTGGAAGGTTGTGATAAAACAGAGTTTAACGTTCCAAACTGAGGTATTCCGTCAATATAAACTTCTAATGGAGCAGCACCAAGGGAAAGTGGATGAGAATCCCAAACCTAAGCAATAGTAATTATTGTTTGTTTTTAAGTTTGAAATAAGCGAGTAATTATCAGATTAAATTCTTTTTGTAATTAAATCGTTGATTAATTATACCACAAGGTCGGCATCATATCCAGCAGCAATTCGACCGATACGGTGGTCAAGACCGAGAGCTTTGGCTGGTACAGAAGTGACAGCGGCCAACGCAAGATTCTCATCGAGTCCGTAATGATGAGATTTTGCTGCTTCGTAGGCTAAATGTTGCTACGAGTATTTTGTGATTAGTAATATTTTGCGTGAATTGGAACGAAAAGAGATAAATAATGAAATTTATGAATATAGTTACCGCGTTAGTCACAGGATGGTCACTTTTCAATGCAACAGGAATTCCAGCATCCGCCAAAATTTTTGGACCTTTGGTACTAGCCTGAAACGCCTCTTTTTTGTATCCCCATAAATCGGAAAATGTGGCAATCGTGATCTGGTTTTTTGCGCGTTTTACAATATCTGGAATACGATACGCGTCCAGTGCGTGATGAACCGCAGCAATGGGGAAATCGAATTCGAGCGAGTGCCTAATTAGAGCTTCTATATCGTAAGTCTATACGTTGGGTGTATATATGCATTCGTATTAAAAGGATAAAATACTCTATTCAATTTGATTCATGTGATCTCCTATACTATACATAATTGAATAACAAACCTCGTAACAATGCACATTCAACTTCACATCACCTCTCAACAACGCCACCAAAGGTTCATACGCCAAATCTTCGGGAAATCGAGTATTCAATTGCTCGCCGCTACCGATTTTATCAGCACTATCGCACCAGTCGTCTTGTTTCCGTTTTAACGTTGCTGCCTCAAATATCACTTTTCTGAGTAACCAACCTTGACCCATTCGTGATTTGTCGTAAACAGTCTAAATAGTATAAATCATTGAAACATAGTTGTTAATGTTATAATTGTGGATATTGCTGTTAATGAAATGTTAATATATACTTTGGGATTTTCCCCACAAGCCATCTTCATCCACCTCCACGATTTCTCATTTTCCGAATCTAAATGTGCATTAACCAGCATATCTTCAACGGACAACGTTTTTACAGGACGTAACTTGATTGCGTAGGCTTCGCCGCCTATTACATTAGCACTTCCGGGTAAAACTAAGATAAATTTTTTTTTGGAGAATTATGAGATTTATGCAAAATTATTTTTGCTTTTATATATATATATATACACGCGAATTCAACTAGAAAAAATTATATCCAGTCTGATAAAGCAATTATTAAGTAGGTTACCTAATGATGTTGTGATACCTCCAGATGCAATAATTGGAATGGCTTATATTTAACAAAAAAAATACAAATTGACATTAACCTATTAATATAATATAAAAAATAAGATTGGAGTAAAAAAAAAAAGATAAGATACCTAGATCGCTAGGATTAAGACCATCAATGGTACGGAACTGATAAATTTAATTTCAAAAAAAACCAATAATAAATTCAATCAATTTCCAACCCAATGCATCTAAGAAAAGTTATTATTATTTTGTTTCCAGTCTATTCCCCAAACACCCAAATTAATTTTTTATTTTCTTATCCCCATAATAATGTAATAATACAAACATAAGGTGTAATCGGATTAGTCTCTTCATTGTAATCTGCATTACCACTTAATTCCGGCAAAGAGTCAACGCCCAAGTGACTTTAGTTTTAAAAGAGAAACAAGAAGGAAAATCAGACATCAATTGCTGATATTTTCGAAATTCATTTTTATCCGTGACGTGATCAATAAATCACACTCAGGAGAGTGACAGAGATTAACTAATATCCTAGGGTGGAAGGAAAGAGTTCACTTCATGTTTTTCAAATGTCTAAGGATCTCTGTTAAATCGATATTAGCTAGTATCTGTCACTCTCCTTATTGTCAACTATCTAACAAATTACTAACCTATGCATGTCAACAAGCCCTGGTGATATGAACTTCTTATTCACATCGATCATTCTAACGTATTGGTCTTCAACCGTCAAGTTCTCACCAACAGCAAACACCAATCCATCTTTAAGAACTACGTCTCCCTGAATTTTGTTACCAATACCGTCGAGAATTATCCCATTTTTCAAAAGAATGGTTTGCGTGTCGGGCTCTCGTCTCGGGTTATTAGTTCTCTCTCTGCCCGAGTAGTCAATCGGTCGTTTTTTTAGTTCCACACATTTCCGTTGGCCTTCTTTGAATGCCTCGTATGAGGTACCAACCGGAAGTTGTATTATACGATGCGGATTTGTATTGATGTAGTAGGCGCTCCAAAGCGTCGAAACAATGAGCATGAGAGAAATTATTGCTAGATATTTTCGTAAGTTTAGAACTATAGTAGTTGTTGGTAATGTTGAATGCAACAAGGCAGGTGGCTGTTGCATTCTTCCTCCATTGTCTACAGCCACCCCAAAACGAGCACGACTATTTTTCGACATTAATTAGAGTATCTTTCACTTTTTTACTCCAGAATTTAATAAACAATGCTGAAACGATAGATTAGGAAACAATCTACCGCGCGACAATGGACAAGTGTCGTGTGATATATTTTGCTATTATCAGCTTTATTATACTATTTTTTTTCTTTATTTCTTGAAAATAGCGTTCAGAAGTTTATGTGAAAATTAAAGTTATACTTATTATATATATCATATATATCATAATAAATAAATGAATGAATGAATGTGACCTCTTTCTTCAATAAAGCAGAGATGATGCTATGGTTATTATTGTTTTTATAATCTATTATTCTTCTTTATATAATTAGTGTATTTTTATATTTATATATTATGTAATTATATGTCAATATTGATCTACTAAAGGAAATTTATTCATTTCTCTCATAACGTCTACTATTTTATATTGGCCTGTCTGCTTAGCTGTTTCTGCCAGTAATAATTAATTACTTATTAATATTTGCTTGTGTATATCATCACCCAAAAGCGATAACAAAATTAGATATTAACAGCATTCTCCTGACGCAGAACTTCTCTGAAGAATAATGTCATCGTGATTAGACGTATTAGTATTTGTTGCAGCGTCGGCGGTCGTAGTAGCAATAATGGGGTTGGTAGCTTCAAAATGCAAATATTGATCTCGAAGATTATTTCCGTCTACCTCGTATCCATCTTCATCCAATTCAACTACATTACTCGATACAGCAGCCAGTGCATTCGAATAGGTATTATTGTGATTGTATCGCCTTGGTATAGGAGATAGTATGCGAGTATGTTGACTCTGGGTTGATGATGATGTTTCTTCATCATCTTCGTCAATATACCCAAAAACGATAGGATTATTGATGTCAAAAAATCCACCACCCCCACCACCTCCACTTGTTGCTGTTGATGATGATGTGCCATTGGTACCAGTATCATTTGAGCGATGATTATTTAATGAAGATGGGGCTGGAAGTGTGCCAAAACCACCGACAAGTGTCGGATTTTCAATAGAAATTCGTGGTAATCTCATTTGTTGAAGTAATTCATCCCTAACCGCACTTGTTGAAGATGATGTTGTGGTTGTTCCAGCTGAAGATGTTGGTGTCGTCGGTGATAATGTTGTAGGGGGTATTATTGTAGCTGATGACGGTGATATTATTGATGATGATGATGATGCTCTGTGTGAACTGTGAGAAGATCTATATCGCGGTCTTAGTAATCTTTCTTGATGTTGAGCCATTTGTCTCAGTATATTCACCCTACGAATAACATCGTCTAAAGCTGCTGATGAAGTATTGGAAGATGTATTCGATGATATTGTCTGCTGTTGTCTGTTACTACTGTTATTATTATCTGTTGAATTATGAGTAGTAGAAGCAACATCAACATCAATATTATTATTATTATTATTATTGTGATTATTATTATGAGCACGATGCGTACGATCACGGTGTCTAAGACGATGCTCATCATTAGGTCGGAACCTCACTGGACTTCTAAGCGGCGGAAGTGAAATGTGTCTCTGCTGCATTCCTTGTTCATTTTGAAGATTAATCAAGTGAGCCGCTTGAAGACCACGCCTAGTTGCGATATTAGATGAAGACGATGAAGCTGCAGCCATTTGCTCTCGTGTACGATGTAAATGTTGTAATTGGTGAAGTCGTTGAATGTGCTGATGAACATCATACGATAATGATCGTCTTCTACGTTCACTCCGTTGACTACTGTTGCTGTCTCCCACACCACCACCTCCATTTCTAATGGTACCAATTTGCCATTCTGGAATCTCTAATATTGTTGTTGTTGATGTTGTTGTATGGTCAGTTAAATTTGCATCATTATTATTGCTATTATTATCCTGATGAGAAGAATAATTAAAAACTCCACTGTTTTGATTGTATGACAGTGGAGCGTTAACAAGATTCCTATTGACAAAATAACGATTACCGAAAGCACTTGTCCTTGAATTCTGACTTGTGGCATCACCGCCAACTGAAGAGTCGTAATAGCTCGTTTGTGAATTCTGTTGTTGTTGTTTAGGAGGTAGTTGTCGTTTAGACAGGGAAGGTGAAACGTACATTGGCAGGCCCATCTTTGAGGTTTCTTATTTTAAATTTTTAGAACTGATATTTTATGAATATATATCAGTATAAATACATATGAAAAGATAGGAAGTGTTGGTGAAAAGAAAAATACAAGATAACGTATTTATACTGGTTTTTGATCACACATACAAATTTACAATAGTAGTTGTTTAGTCAACGAAAAAAAAAACTTGTAAAAAAAAAAGAAAAAAGGGGTTTTTATTTAACCCCATTGATGATTATGTATTTGCAAATCCGGCACTTTCTCACACACATTCTGATATAATTATGTATAATCGTAATCTCAGCAACCAGTAGCACTTTTCATGTATAGAATTTTGAATAATACCATTAGATGTTATTATATTTTACCTATTTTTTTTTTTACCTTTTTAGTAAATTATATTTTAATGACACCAAACCGAAAATTGTGTATTTTCAGTATACGACTCGAGAAATTGGATATATTACCGTTATGTATGTGGCTACTCATGGAAAATTTATTAGTACGTGCAAACTTCTTTCCATTCATCCCATCGTTTTGTCCAACCGTTTTCATTCCTCCACCCGGGACGTTTGGTATACTGCTTGCAAACTCGACTAACTCCATGCTTCTTTAGCTCCATCAGAACTGAAGTTTTCTTCGTATATATTACATCCTCTAAATTCGACAACTACAAATAGTTAAGTTATTGAAGCGAAAAAATCAGTGTTAACTATGAGTCATTTCTTTAATGAATCATTGAATCTTGATTTAAACTTCTTCAAAACCGTGGATGTCTTCAACCAGCAAAGACTAAATCTGCTCAAATTATAAATGTGGTGTAAGCCTTCTCTTTTTCCACAAACGAAATGTTATATGCATAAGCGCCAACAGTTATCAATGAACTTCTCACAGTAATAGAAGTGACGCTGCTAGAGGATGGAATTAAGTTTATAACACGGCAATAACAGCGGAGGATAATGATTTGAAAAATTATAGTCACAAGCAATTTACTTTTGGCGATACATTGGGTAACAACCGATCTGAAATTATTTGGGTAGCCAAGATCCGTGAAAAAGTTGTGTTCTCTCAAAATGACCAATCAAAGAACTGTTAGAAGGAATAATGGGTGAAATCATGGACATTTAAGAAACGCACATACCAAAAGCTTCTAAGATGCAGTGTTCTTGAATCATTTGCTTCACTCTAGAAGATCCTTTGCAAACATGAAAAAACGATGTTACGAAAAAGAGGAATTGATGGCTTACAGAAAATTCACAATAGAGGTGTGTTGCAGAGATGCTGCGGAGAGATGAGTTGACAGGTAAGAAGTCATGTATTTTGCATGGAGTAAAAGCCAAAAATGTAAATTCATGTTGCGTGCGTTAGAAATTCATGTTTGCTAATTAATTTATAGTAGGAAGCAGTATTTGAATAGGAATGCTTATGATGTACGATAAGAATGAAATTGGTGACCGCAAAGGTCAACAAGTCATTATATGAGTCTCAACTAATCGCAAGGTATACAGTCAGTAATAAATGGGTAATGATATTATAAAGAGATTTATTTTCAAAAAATAATACAGACTCAAATTCCGATTCTTAATTTATTTTACTCTTCCTTTCAATGCACGCCATTTTCTCTAAGAAATATTAGCATTATCCTTTAAAACGACTCTACCAAATATTTTCTAAAAAATCCAACACTTATTACAGTCAAAACTGAATACAACGATGGATTGGCCCAAGTTCAAAAAGCTCGTTATAATGAGTGTTATATAGAAAATCGTTATAAACAAGTGCATTTTATTATAATCGGGAATTTTGCAAAAGTTCGCAACCAAATCTCGCTATATAATGAGTTCGTTTGACTGTACAAACTTACCAATATCAACATAATCCCTCGACCATAACTACTAAAAGTTGATTTTCATCGCTCTGTCTACCTTATTTATCACCAATATCTTTAAATGTCAAAAAATTATTTATACCAATATGTAAGAACCATTAAATAACAGAATCATCAACACCGAATGAATATAACATAATTGCAAATCTGATACTAAAATCTTTGACCCAGTTTCCACTGAATTAAATAAACCAGTCATTTCCCAATTCTGAGAAACCTCACTTTTTTCCCATAATTGCTGCATTTCCGTAACTGGTGCTATATTCACGCTTCTCTGCTGTAGCAGTTTGTAATAGAATGCAGTTGGTAATAGAAGTTAGACAAATATTGAAAATAATATCTCCAAGTCTAATCGGTTTGATGGCTAGATTTAATGGCCTAAATCATGGCTTAATTTCTTAATGCTGGCCAAAATCCAAATTTATCCGATCTTTTACGGGTCCCTGGCGTCACAAAAAAAGTACCTAAAAATAGAAATTCTAATTAACTAAATGTATCAATAAAGTTCTCACTCTTGCGCGCAATTTAACGAATCTACTCATATTATAATTAGCATAATGTCTAGTAACCTACATATCGCAGGTGTCTTAGCAAAAGATAGTCTCTACTCGGAGGTTACTCCCAAAGATCTTGAGTGGACACTAGCCTCAGGCTCATCAACGGAAACTCAAACTTTTTATCTGACAACCAACGAAGGCCATTTTGCTTTTGTACAAATGGTTCACTCTAATATTGGGTATATTGATAATATTTGCATTTTTGTTATTAATTACAATAATGCATTTCACGTTTATCATAAATAGTGAATTATACATGGGCATGAATAAATTTCTTTATTTATTATTAATTAATTTTATGACAAAGTGTTTGGTCTCCTACAATTCAATTTACCGCTCGATTTTTTGGTGGTGGTATTAACACATTCAAATCTGTCAACATGTCCAATTTCAAACTTTCTCAAGATAAAAGATCAGCAACAGCTGATAACATGGCAATCAAATTAGACGACACCTGTACCAGATACAAAGTGACTCTAAATCACAAAACAGAACTAACTGTCGAGTTCGAAATAGAACGAGTGGATCGCAGTTTCAAAATCGGCGAAGGAAAAACTTATTTCGGAAAAGACCAGAAGGGATTTGTCGAACACAAGTTTTGGCCGAAATGCAAAGTTACCGGGAACATTGTGGTGGATGGTCGCGCGTTTGATGTTTCAGGTACAGGACTATTCGTCCACGCAATTCAAAGTATGAAACCTCACTTGATTGCTACTCGTTGGAATTTTCTCAGTTTCCAAGCACCGAACGCCTCGTTGGCCATGATGGAGTTTGAGACAACGCCACAGTACGGGAGTACTAAAGTCAATCAAGGAAGTTTGATCGTTAATGATAAGTTGGTGGGCGTGTCCGTGGAGAATGCTGCAGAATTTTTGGAGACAGAGTTGGATCCGCAGACCGGGTATCATATTCCGAATGTGATACATTATACGTGGAAAGGAAAAACTTTGGAGACTGGGGAAGAGTTTCAGGCGAGTTTAAAGATAAGACCTGAGACGCTTATGGATAAGATCGATGTATTGAATGAGGTTCCGTATTTCTTGAAGAAAATTGTGCAAGGTGAATTTTTATTTTTTTTTAACGGAATGGTGCCATTGATTATTCATTTGAGATATATTGATGTAACTGATTAAAATGATTTTTTCCGTTTGCTCTTCAAATTATTCCAGCATTCGTGGCAAAACCGTATATATATCAATGGTTCAATGCTGCAACCGTCGAAATCACTATCGGAAGCAATAAATTGACCTCTACTGGAAAATTGTTCAACGAGGCAACTTTTATTTCTTAAAATAGTAAAAAAAATAGTACCAGAAAAAGATAAACAATATGTGAGCGATTTACGATAGCTTGCTTTCCTTTTTCGTGTATTAATATTTAATGTTTTGATACAAAAAAATTTCTCTTCTCTATCATTATATTATGTATTATCTATCGCAGGATTAGAGTAAGAATGATAATTGATAATACAATAAAAAAATATCCATATAAAATTAATATAAAGAAAAATAATCGATAATAAAGCAATACGTGAACTCAATCACGCGAATCCACCCGGATACAACCACTTTATTTTTTCCGACCAGCTTTCGAAGCAGCCTGCATATTCTTAAGTAGCTGTTCTTTCATAAAAAACAACTCTTCAATCGATTTCGCATTTTGGATGTTTAATTCGGTTAGCTTTTGTATTGGATTGGCGTTTGCAATGGTGCTGCTGCTGGCTTCTGCTTCTACGCTGCCACTGGCAATATCAGTATTATTATTGTTGTTATTACCAGTATTACTTTCATTGTTGTTAGTGTTAAGATCATTACTAGAGGGAATAGACGATCCCAGCGAAATACTATTCGCACCGGTTCTTTTTGCATTAGTTGCAAAGTTTTGAACAAGTGAGGTAAGAGACTTCAAGTCTTCTGAATAAGATTATGCCAGTTAGGTCGTTAAATGGATATTCGGAAATGTCAGAAATAAAAAATAACAGACTCAGCATAAGTCATTTTCCATGAATAGAATCAGGAAAGCGCGTAAAACGTAGTGCATTATTTAACCTGTGGAATTTGGGTAAGAGCTGGAGAATGAATTCTCGCTATTTACGCGTTTTTTTAATTCAAATGTATGAATTGTTAGGAAAGAAAATCAGTCGAAAAAGCTCAAGTAGAAGAAGTAATAAAGTATTACATTTTATCAAAGACGTTTGTCCCAAACTCCCCGATATTGTTCAAGTCTTGAAGAAGGTCATCTAAACATTTGATATAATCTTGGGCAGAAGTTGCCATGTTTAACGTTAACGTTCAGGTATTGAGGCACAAAGATTTTCGGATGAATTTTTTAACAAATGATTGGCTGAAATAATCTCCAATTTATATGTAGATTTTCATTTTCTATTTTCAAATGATGACTTTCTCAATTGTAGTCTTGATATCAGGAAACGGGACCAACCTACAAGCCCTCATTGACGCGACAAAAACCTCAACACTCAACGCGACAATCACGCTCGTAGTTTCCAACAAAACATCCGCGTTCGGACTTACACGCGCCATCAAAGCCGGTATACCAACACTAGTACTCACACTTAAAGAATACATAGACATTGGCAAATCACGCGTCGACTACGACATTGCGCTCGCCAAAAAAATCAAAGAACAAAATCCCGATCTGATAGTGTTGGCTGGATGGATGCACATCCTGTCAAAAGAGTTTATCAACTACTTTCCCAACAATATTATCAATATACACCCGGCGTTGCCTGGACAATTTGATGGTGCACACGCGATAGAACGCGCGTTTGAGGCGTTTCAAAGGGGCGAGATTACAGAGACGGGTGTTATGGTGCATAAGGTTATCCCGGAAGTGGATAAAGGTGAGCCGTTGCTTATTGAGCATGTGCCGATACTTAAGTCTGATACACTGGAAGATTTGGAAACTCGTATACATTCGGTTGAGCATCGATTGATAGTACAAGCTGCCATTAAATTTCTCGAATTAATTTGATTATTATTCATACAATTGCAAATACACTCTTCTAATTGACATATATATAAACTCGTAAAATATTATTATTATTATTTCAGTCTCTACATTTGCTTTTAATTTAGAAAAACTTTGATTTAAACCACTTGATAAATGACTTCTTCGCGCGCACACAATTTATTAATCTTGCCTGTTACAAATATAAAAAAAATAATATTCATCAATCATATTAAAATTAAGATATGAAAATCTAAAAAACTAGATAATTACTTCGAGTCCTTGTTAACTACAAGATTTGCCTTCAATAAATTCATACGAAGTAACATGGCACTAGTGTTCTTTTCGTATTCCTCGCCCATCTTCAATGACTTTTGAAATATTCCGCTTCTTTGGTCTTGTTGCTTTGCACAAAGAATCTGAAGATAATAAAACGATTAATGAAAATAAAACCCTGGATCCCAAATAAGAATTTATCCATAAAAGAATTAAAAACCTTATTATGACTATCAATTCTCGCCTGAATCTGATTTTCGGTAATTAATTTCGCGAGCTCCCTTTCCAATTTCGGGACCTCCGTACAAAACGATTGTGCCATTTTGTTTAGATCCACCGTGAGAAAAGGGCTGAAGTATTGGATGAGCGCTTTTTTGCGAATATTGTCGTAAAGTGTTTCCAAATGATTGTGCAAGTGAAGATCCAAGAAATAATCATTCTATTGGGGACAAATAATGATTCCAAACGATCCGTTTGATTAATAGAGATACATGAAGAAAATAATAATCTGTTTTATTACCTTCCATTTTTCCAAGATATCCAACACGAGAGCATATTTTGAATGGTAAAAACCATGTATTAATTCCCGAATATGAGGTTCGAGTTCAAGGAATTGTTTGAATTCCGCATTGTCTATGACTTTGCTTTTTAGTTCTGCCCGATCGAATGAAGCCAGTGCACACAAACCTCCATATACTGCTACATCGTTAGGCGAAATAACCTTATTATTTTGTCATCATTAACGAATTTTTATCAGGAAATTTATTTAAAAAAAAATAGAAATAAACAGAAAGTAGTTGAAATACCTCTGAATAATTATTTGACAGATCAAATCCAGTTTCAAGAAACAACCGCGCCGCCACTTTATACTTGTTACTGTCAAGATTTGCTAAAGCAGCAGCCACTTTTAATTTGGCTTGTACCACCGATGGAATATCTGGTGTGGATTCTGCTTTGATAACGTAACTGTGAACATGCGAGTAATTACCAAGTTCTATTGAAACCTTTAAAGAAAATAAAAAACAATTAATTATCATTACCAATATAGTAAAGAAATGTTCAAGAAACTTTTATGATAATACGATCTAAATTTCTCTCACCTTGATCACATTCAAACACATCTCTATAATGTGTTTAGCAGTGGTACAATAGTCGCGCGTCCTCGAATAACATTTTAATGCATTTGTGAGGCTACCACAATTATAATGGTGATCTCCCAGCTCATTATGTCCCATCTAACAATTAATTTAACGATAACTTAATAAAATAGGTTTAATATCAAACTAACAAATTATTTTTTCTCACATACCCGAATGCTCTCTTTAATTAAATTATTTTTATAGTTCTTTAATTCAGCCTCCAATCTCTCCACAGACGACTTTGCACGCTTCTGAGTCGAGTCCACCCATGCTGAATCAATTTGAAACAGAGGTCGTCCTTGCGATGATAACGCCTCGTTGAGCTTTGTAGCAGCAGCGATATATTTGTTATGATCTAGTGTGCTTGTTTGTATCTCTTGTAGAGCTAGTTTATAAGCTTCAATTTGAAGCGCAGGACAACGTTTCGCTATGAAAAGAAGACGGTCAACTTTGGTGTGTCCTGTTTGTGTATATACAATATCCAATGTGAAAACCGACAAGATTGTTTAGTACGTCAGTTTCATAAATGTAGACAAGAATGTGTAATGTACGCGTTTTATGTAGATAATGGACCTTTGTAGTTTGCAATGTACGTGTCCAAATCCAAATTGTTTGGCGGTTCTACACACACTTCTAGAGTTCTTTTTCTTTTTGCGTTTGCAGCTATACCGTCTTCTAAATTTATACTCATAATTTATTACCTTTTGAGATAACTTTTTTTAAAATTCGGAAGATTCAATTATTTCTGAATCCTGCAGCATTGTACCACTTGAAGAATGACTGCGGGTTGTCGATCTCGAATAAGTTTATTTTTGTTAAAAACTACGTAAATTTATCTTTTTTAGTTAAAAAAGTATTAACGTTAAGTAAATTAAATGAGTATGACCTCTATATATAGAAATGTTTGGGGTCCAGGGGAATGGCCACGCGATATCACCCATCACCAAAACTGAGCGCAATATGTTATGTTATAGAAAAGAATATATAGGAGAGATATAGATATCTATTCTAGAGGTCAAACTATCTAAAGATTATAATGAATACAGTCAGACCTCCTAAGTGCAACTCGTCGGGAACATACAAAAACTTGCATTTAGAGAGGTATTGCATTTATGGATGTAAAAATACATAAGTTGGGACCAGATTAGAACGTGCATTTAGAGAATAATTGCACTTTGACTGTATATGAATATACGTGTTATTTTGCGTACAAGTGATCTTCAATTTGCAAATTATAATAGATAGTTTATTAAGCTTTAGCAGGAGTCTTAGGTTTCTTTGTGCCATACTTTGATCTCGAAGTTTTTCGATTGGGGACACCCTGAAAGTCCAAAGCTCCACGTACCAAATGATACCGAACACCTGGTAAATCTTTAACTCGACCACCTCTGACAAGAACAACCGAATGTTCGGTCTTTATTTAGTGCGAGAATATAATTTTCCCATAATAATATTTAATATATATAAATTAAAAATAAATATAAATATAATATATGTATATGAGACAAATTAATTAAATACCAAATTATGCCCTTCTCCTGGAATATAAGCAATGATTAATCTTCCATTCGACAATTTAACACGCGCTACCTTTCTCACTGCCGAATTCGGTTTCTTTGGCTTAGTCGTGTACACTTTATTACATACCCCTTTTTTCTGTGGGCTGCCTTCCAACGCGGGACTTTTTGAAAGACGACGTTTCGAACGACGGCAGCCCCGAAGCACTTGGTTTAGTGTAGCATAAGTAGCGACAAGTGGTTTTTTTTGTAGCGTTATTAGAGGATTTGGTGTTGTTGATATAGGTTTTATTAACGAGCTGTGATAAGCTGTTTTAGTTAGTAGTAATAAATTGTTGCTAGTTGTTGCAAATATGTTGCGAGAATGTAGAATGCGTTCATTGTTATTGTGATTATTATAATTGAAGAATAAATGCAGTTTATTAGTCCCCCGATTTTTAGCAAAGGTTCGCAAAAAATTTGTTATCATTTTGTAGCGAAGATACAAAACGCGAGAAGAGATTACATTTAGAATCATACATATACGATTGGTTGGGTTAGACGATCTACATATAATTTTTTTCTTATCATAAATATTTTCTAATATGATTTCTTCGTTATACTGGGTGCGAAAAGGAGTTTCTGCTGAGCAACCGGAGGTGATTATTTTGGATATTGATTATTGATTATCAATTTTGATATATCATGTTATATAAATTCAAATATTTTTTAGAGATATGAACTCACCGAACAAGAATATGAACGCATAAATATATCAACAGCTGGTGAGCTGAAAGAAGCTCAAGAAGAATTAAAAGAGTAAACTATAATCCAATTGAAATCCGTTTTTTTGATTTGTTCCTAGTTAATAAGTCGAATTTTTGTTTATGCTTCCTTTTTAAAAAATATAAATATAATACTAAAAAAGAATTAAAGAGGAACAAATGAAAGATGCCAAAAATGAAGATTCCGAATTGGCAGAGTATAATTTAGAGAATTATGATGATGATGACGAGAAAATTGAAGGCGAATGTATGATATCTTTTTTTTATGCGAAAAAATAATATATATTACATTAATTTACAATTTTATAAAATTACAGCAATCAAATTCTTTGGAAGTGTAACGTCGTTAACGTATTACGCGTCTAATGAAGAAGATCCATATATAACATTAAATGACGAGGTAAAAATAAACAATTATATTAATAATTAATTATTAATTACAAAAAAATAACTATTCATGAACTAAAAAAAAAGGAAGACGATCCCGAAACCGAAGATTTACGAATTCTAAAAACCGATAATATCCTAATAGCAGCAAAAACCGAGGACGAAATCTCACAATTAGAAATCTACATTTACGAAGAATCCAATGATAATCTTTACGTGCACCACGACATCATGTTACCGTCGTTTCCGCTATGTTTGGAATGGCTGGATTTCAGGTTAGGTAGAAAGTCGGATGTGCCAGGTGGCGGGAATTATATTGCCGTTGGTACTTTTGAGCCGGAAATTGAGATTTGGGATCTGGATACTATTGAGGCGATGTATCCGGATGCGATTATTGGGAAATGTGAGGATAAAAAAGGTGGCGGAAAGAAAAAAAGAAGAGAAAAGGTTTTTTTAATGTTATTTTTTTCGCTTATATTAGTTGTTTGTATTTATGTTGATATTTACGTTTGCAGAAAATAAATCCGAATTATCATACAGATGCTGTTATGTCGCTTGCATGGAATAAACAACACAGGTGAATTATAATAAGATTGAACAAATATTATTTGTTTTATTTACTCGCATCTAATAAATATTTTGCTTAGAAATATTCTTGCGAGCTCTTCGGCTGATACAACTGTAAAACTTTGGGATCTTCAAAAATTAAGATGCGCGCATTCATTTAATCATCACTCAGACAAAGTAAACCTTAATTTTTATTCCTGCTATATCATTTCAATAATATATTAAATATTTAATTAATTACAGGTTCAACAAGTTCAATGGCATCCTATTGAATCAACAATACTTCTCACAGCCTCATACGATAAAACAGTAGCAGCATTCGACAGTCGATCACCACAAGCCATCACAACCTGGAATATTTCTTCAGATCCAGAATGTATTCGATGGAACCCATTTTCACCGCAACAATTTTATGTGAGCACCGAAGAAGGACTTGTCCTGTGTTTTGACGCGAGAAATACGGGAAATAACAATAATAAGGATCATCACCCACTATTCATTTTACATGCGCATGATTCTTCAGTGTCGGCATTAGATGTGAATCCGCTGGTTGAAGGTTGTTTGGTGACTGGATCTCCGGATAAGATGGTTAAAGTTTGGGATGTCAAAAATTTAAAACCTAATATGGTGACAAGTAGAGATTTGGATGTTGTATGTCATTTTTTTTATCTGTCTGGTTAATATAGCATTATATTATATATAAAATCTAATTATCTATCTAATTCAATAAATATAGGGTAAAATATTTTCCCTTCAATTTTGTCCAGATTCACCTTTTCAGTTAGCGGTTGCCGGATCAAATGGAAGTGTTTATATATGGGACATATCCACAAATGCTGGAGTTCGCCACGTATTTGAAGGTAGAGGAATTCCACTTGGAGCAAGTAAAATACCCGTAATTGATGTAGGTTTTTAGATAACAATGAGATTTCTTTCCATTCCATGGTAATTGCATTTAATTGTTTTCACGTTATCTCAATATTCGATTTATTAGAAAACACCAGTCACAGTTAGTAATGACAAAGACGAGACAGATGATGACGAAAGTAGTGATGATAATGTTGAAGAAATGGAAGATGATAGTGGTGAAGATGTATAAATAAGTTGTTTATTTAACCTAAAAGAAAAATTATGGATATTTAAACATAATAGTAATTATTTGCGTTAGAATATCACCAAAACAAAAATGAGGAATAGAATTTATGCTTAATATTATTGTATATAATAGTGAGTTTCCATTTAATTATTATAAACATCTCTTACACTAGATTCAACTGCATCGACACTCAATAATAAAATAAAAGATTTCAATCAATACACATAGCAAATACACGAAAACGCAAAATTACTTAAGAAAAATTATCAAAAGGGCACAGGGATTGAAACAATATATAAGCATCACTGGCATTTGGTAACATCAAAAAAGTGTAATTATTATCACCGTTCATAAAGTACCCATGTTCATGGGGTCGCCAAGAGATTGGCGAGTCTTGGAAGCCACAAACGCTCAACGAGGCCCAAGAAAGAATCGATTCGGAATCATTATTATTATGAAAAAAGTTGCTGAATATATATATTGAAATAACGTGAAAATAATAAATAATATAATTGTAATATTTGAGATATTTGAAATATCGATATAATAATATTATTATTAATTACCGTACAGATTCAAGCAATTCCATAATCATCATACCAGAAACAAATCCAGTCCAACGCACAAAAATCCCATTCTGACTAGAATAAGGTTCGGGTGGTCGATAAGTTGATATGTATGGATCAACAGAATCTTGTTCATGAATCCTAAAAAAATATTTCAGATTTATTATTCGTCATAGAAAAAAATTGATCGTTCTTTAATTTTACCTTTGTGCATTAATAGAGATCATCCCAATCCAATCATATATTTCTATTGCATCGGATGTCCATGTCTCTTTATGCGTTGTCGGCTTTATGGAATCTAAATCTGGTGTAAGAATATTTTCTAGTCTGGATAATGATTCATTCAAAAGGATCTTTTGTGTTTTGATCGTGCCAGGGAAAGTAATTTCACGAGATTTCCTATCAGCTTATCATTATAGAACAATTCGCACAATTAATACAGAATAAAAATAACCAAGAATAAAAAAGTCTAATTACCAACATTCACATATGAAATGAGAAAGGGAAAACTCCCAGATAGTGTGTGTTCAAAACACCATTTGATTCTTTCGTATCCCTTTTTCCCGGGGACCATTGAATCTGCAAGCACATCAATCGTCACCACTATAAAAAGTCTTTAGATTATTATGTAAGAGCATTTCTATCAAAAAATGACGATATAAAAATAATTCACCATATCGCTGACGTTTTGGTCCAAATTTAGCCGGCTTTCCCGTTATACCAAGTTCTTCATACGTATCTTTGGTTAAATGCAGAACCAAGTTTCCTAAATAGATGATTCTAAAAATATATCATGAAATGACCTTGCGTGATTTTGATCCAAAATGGATAATAACTTTACCTTTTCCATCTAAAGCAAAAACATTCGCAATATCAATGCCTTCACTCAGGCTTAAAGCAATAACTTCGCCTTTAAACAACATAAAGTGATATATCATTAATTCGTTATGTATTTTAAAGCTTTGATATGATAGTCTTAGAGTTTCATACCGGTTGCTATGTACTCTTGAACAAAAGATTTGTCAATAAAATAAGTTAATGGAAGTTCAGCTCGATAATAGAACCCTTTGTGTGAAAAGAATTGTGCTTGTTGCAGTGAAATGTCGCCTGGTAAGAAAAGTTCAACTTGGTGGTTAAATGGATGGTCCAAAATAAACTTTTCATGTCGAGAATTGGGAGTAAGGAACGAGGAATGTGTAAGAAAAAGTTTGGCCTTCATAAAACGCGACGAATGGGTCAATACAAAATTTCGTATTTTGAGAGATAAGTATATTGACGCGTATCATCAAATTTTTTTACAATATCTTAGATAAGTTAATTCTATTAATATACAATTTTTCGCAGAATCTATGCAGTTACACAGTCCAAGATGCGAGTAAATCGCTTTCTTCATCATTAATGAATGGCTGCTCAATACTTTTGATCATAATATCACCACACAAAATACATTCAGATGCAACCAAATCGTCCAATTCGTCCTGCAAAAATAGATTAATGAGTATTTTTATTAGAATTTCTTTTTTAAATATAATTCATACCTTCAGCTGATCAACTTTTGGCACAATGACGACAACATCGTCTCCCGGTGTGGCTGCATTATCAGGCATTATAAGTCCTCGTAGACGATCAAATCCTCCTCCTCCGCCTCCTCCCCCTTTTGGTTGTTGTCGAGGCTTATTAGGAGAATTGTTGTCGTTATTTTTATTAGCTAATTCACGGGCTATTTGCTCTTGAAGATCAAGAATACGACGAAGTTGTCGCGTATTGAAATACTTTGTGACCTATAAAAATTATGACATTTCGATTAGCAATATATAATAAATTTAATATCCAATGCTAATTAAAATACTTTGCATACTCGATTGATAAGGCAATCAGTATGAAACGCATGCTGACAAGGAAACACGTAAAATTGTCGAATAAGTAAAGGGAAATCACATAAAGAACATTTTTCACTTGTAGAAACGGTCGCGAACCTAAGAAAATCACGAAATACTTGTTAATATCGTAAGAAAAGAGGGTGATAAATAACAAGCATTTTCGCGATACTTACCGACATCGTAGCTCCCTGATATCAAGTCTTATGCTTTCAGCACTCTTGGTCGCTTCTTCCATATCAGCCTTGAGATTATTGATATGGTTATTATACTCTTCAAGTGCAGCGATAATTTCATCCTAGAGAAATAATTGCATTATCGTTAATACGTGAATATTAGTAGTATTATTAATTAATTTATAAAAAGGCAGTTTGAATAATAACAAAAAAAATAATCACTTTAAATTCATCAATGAGGACAAAATCGGGAAAGAATGGTAAAATATCTTCAATCTTTAACAATTCACAGTGCTGTAAATAATTCATTGCCCTATAATAATCATAATTCCAGAATTAATGAAGATGACTCGAAAAATTGGAAACAATACGCACCAAATTGTATTTACGTTTTAATGTCTTCTTTTTCGACTACATGTCGTGCAATTTTTAGCCAAAGCTTTTTTCGAAGAGCTTCGTCGTCTTCTGGTTTATCAGCATTGATTCTTGCCAGCTCTAAATCTCCGTGCTAATAAAAGACAGAGCAGTATAAGCTTTATGAATTTTAAATAAAATTAACCTAATAATTTCTACCTTTAGTGCCAGATCAACAGCCTCTTCATAAAGTCCCATATTACTGTAGATATGTACACAGCTCTGCATTCTTCCATTTTGGGTACAAAGTCGAAGTGCATAGTCTAAATTATAATGGGGCTCACGACCCTATCACAAAAATCATCTTAGATAAGTAATTTTACTATTCAGAAAAAAGAATATGAAAATACATACTTCTGTTGCCAAAAACTTTAGCAAATCAGATTCGTCGGTTGTATGCTGCGTTGCGTATAGCGTTAAGAGGAAATTGTGAATTGCTGGATCTACGTTGTTTGTTTGTTGAACCACATATTGCAAGTATCTTATTGCTTGGTTCTATCGAAAAAAAAAAGGATAAAGTGACTATTCTACAAATGTGACAATTCGACAACAATGTATATATAATAACGTTAATGATTATATAATTTACCGTACTAATATTTTCTGAGGACTTTGAATAATCGTATTTTAGCAAAGCAGGCATCAAATGTCGCGGATCGAGTTCAGTTTGACGCATTAAAACGCTAACTGTTTCATAAGGTGCATTTTCCATAAGAACAGGTGCAAATTTATAGAATATATCGACCGAACCCTAAGAGTCACGAATTTGGTCAAGGATTTTAGAATTCACAAATTGAAGTTATTTGATAAAATATTTAAATACCTGCTTGCTGAGCACTTCAAGTGCTTGTTTGTAATCCTTCTCAGCGATCCAGTGGGATATGACTTTTTCGTGATCTCCAATTAACGTGGCATAATACAATAATTCTTCGGTGCGCCCATGACTTGCAATAAGATTATATGTAGTACGTTTGTCTAAATTTGCCTAGATAAAGGGTAGAGATTTATCATTATTGAGTTCAATCATTATTCTTAATGCGGAATTTGAACATCCTAAACCTTGTATGTTTGAAGGAAAGTTTTGAAACCGTCTACTAGCAATTGTTGTTCAGTTTTCTCATTTTGCTCGGTAAGACGTTTTTCTTGTTCGTGGGGACTATTTAATTCACTATCCGAATCTTCAGATAGAGTACCCGAAGCAACTATATCTTCCAAAAGATTTATTTTACTCAAGAAAATTTCTACAAGCCATGTAGCAATCATAGTTTTTTGCGTTAAATCCTAAATTTCAGAATTTATTAAAATCAAGAAACATAGAAAAATTCGGGAAGCCTAATAAAAAGTAACATACTATGCGTCTAAGTTTCTCAAGCTTATTCATTAGATAGTCTCGAAGAGCATCTCGTTCATCTCGCTCAACAAACTTCAGTGCTACCTCCTCAAAAGGAACCGTTGATTGTGCATAATAATTGGCAGAAAGGATAAATCGGCCTTGCGAAAAGTAATAATCGGCTTGAGTGGTGAGTACTTTATCCCGTTGAGCTGGATTATTCTAAAATTATTTATTTTTGATTAACTCTTTATTTATTTATACGGTGTATTAATACATAAACACCGACCTTACCTTGCAATACGTCAATGCAGTATCAAACATTTGCTTATCAAGATAAAGTTTCCAGACATCTCTATCTTCTTTCGTAATAATAAGCTCAAAAATTGACGAATCGGTATATACCCAAAATGTATTTTTGACCGTATCAACTGTCATTGTTCGAACTTCTTCATTTGCTTTCTGAGAAATTTCAAATAATAATTTATTTTACAAATATGAAATTTTCAAATAAGATAGTGATATATGTTCTCTACTCACTAGCGGAATAAAATCTTCGTATACGATTTGATCGTTCAATTGACAGATTGCTCTTATGCGATCCTTATAAAGCAGTATGAAATGAAATTCAGTAAGTGTTATAGATAATGGAATTTCCGATACTAAGACTGAGGGATCAATTTCTGAAGGAGTAGCAGGATAACTTATTTGTAAAGATAAATATAAGCATATTATAAATATATTGATAGGTAAGCAAAGCCAATGAACATGATAAGATACATACGGCAACAACTGCGCACTGTCGATGACACTATCGCCAACACCTTGGGAGCCAAACACCAGACTTCCGTGATATATTCCTGGTCCTATTAAAATAGGAAAGATTCATAAGATTTATTTATTAATTGATCTCATAATCGATAAATTCATAATAATAACTTTGATTTACCAGTTAACCACGCAAAATTTTTCGGGGAGCCTTGGTATTGTAAATCTTGGAAAGGAGTGAAGAAGTGCAGTTCACTATAAGACAGATCTCCAGGTAGTTCTTGGAAACCTGTTCAACATGAGAAATATCATGTTAAATGCTCTTATATAAATAACAGACATCTTAAACTCGGAATATAGTTATTTACCTGGGTTCACCTCGTATTTCGAGAATAAATTCTCAAACATTGATCCACCGTCAAAATCTGCATTAGGATTCGCATTCCCAATAAACTGATATATCCGTGTCGGTGTAGTGGCCACGATAAAATATTTTCGAGAATTTGTAGGGAATTGGAATTGTTCGAATCGAAGTCCTGTGATTGGCATATTTTCATGTATTGAGTATACCTAAAGACCATATGGTTGTTATTTTCTTAATTCTGCAATTCTGACAAGTAATTACAAAATAAAAAAATGTATTATTATAGTAATAGACAGTACTTGTTTGCAAAATTTTTCTTCTTTTTTGAAATATTCTTCAGTAGGCTCGATTTCTATTTCAAAAATAAATCCGTTTCTACTACCGACCAGTATCTTTTTTGTCGAAATGTCTGAGGCGACGCCGTTAAATTTGTTCCACGCGACTGATTCGATTATAATTCCCTTTTTTATATTTATTTATATCAAATGCATAATGAAAATATTTAATGTTTTATCTATTCGAAAAAAAGTTCGCGTAATTTCTATTAAATTATATAAGTTCAGGTCCATACTTTTAATTTCGAAAGTGGTTTGGCCTTTTTCCATTTTTTAAATAAATAAAAATTTTCGCCTTGTTCAGTCGTGATTAGGAGATGCCGACCGGTGGGATCCAAGAAAATTTTATAGATCTTCACTTCGCCGGGCTTTTTTGGTATTTCAATATCTTATATTAATTATTATAAAAATATCGGCAAGGAATAATTTGATAGTAGTTGGAATGTTTGATCTTTGTCATATTTGATTATATTTAAAAACTAAAACCGAATTGAAATAAAATGCTTAATAATGCTTAATAATGCTGAAAATGTACCTTCTACATCATGAGCTTGCTGTAAGTCTATTCTTAAAATATGATTGGTCTCTAATGCCATAATGAGCACTTCGTTAGATACCGTCATAGCAACCAACGCAGCAGGAAACTGAAACTGAACTCTATCTAGAGTAAATATTCGCGAGTCATCCTCTGATAGACCCGTGCTTACAAAGCCTGTCTCTAGCTAAGAGCAGCTCCGAAGAAGTAGAATGTTAAAATTATATGGACAACAAACATTTCTGAAAGCAAGTGAACAATAACTATTTTTACCATGACAGGGTCTGAGGGTTCGAAGCCAGTGTCCAAGAGAAAAGCGTTGACCGCTCCGCCATAAGAGGGAGGTATGGCTTCGTTGGACTGTTCATTGAACTCATCTATTAACGACATTGTAGGAAATTGTAAATATGTATGTTGCTTGAAATTCTCAGGTTAGATTCAGTATTTTCAGCCAATCATATCAATCGCACGTGTATAAATTCAGAGATACTGGGATGATGAAAGGGGCCGAGTCGAGTGTCATGGAAATTAACTTATTAATTGAGCAATTCTGTTAAATACGCAGCAATAATAGCTGCGCCCGCAGCTGCTATCTGCGCCCGCAAAGAAATGTCGTCATATGTGTACGTATTTATTAATTATTGTTATCGTTATTGGGTGATTATAAAAAGTGAAATAAATACTTTTAATACTACTTGACCCTTTTTTTTTACGTGGTTAAAATTTTTATTAAATATATCAACGTTCAATATAAACTTCGAAATGAGTTGGGAATTATTTTCCGAGGCGTTATCTTTCGTTGAAACGAGTCCCACTAATCACTTGAACTTCGTTTTTTCCAACAACGACAAAAACAACCACCACAAAAAAAAGGCGAAAGATTTCGAACTTTTTGAAAATTATGAATTGCCTCCCATGTCAACTACCCAAGGCGAAATTTATAAGAATAAAATTCATCCACCTCCTCAACCTCCACCTCCTCAACCACAATCTTCACCTCCTCAACCGCTACTACCACCACAACCGCTACTACCACCACAACCGTCTATGTGCCAGGATTTCGTGTTGTTTCCTGAAGAGGATCAGGATTTCGAGTTATTTCCTGAAGAGAAGTACATAGAATCCCTCGAGGATATGAAATTCTTCGGAGATATCTATCCTCCTTTAACGGAAATAGGTCGTAAGCTAGAAAATTAAACTGCTTCAATTATCTATATATAAATAATATATCCTATTTATATATTATTTATATATGTGTTGATAAAAAAGCTTAACGTACAAATGGTTTAAACGTTTAAACCACTGTACGTTAGATTTTTTCTTCTCGTTTGGGTCACTTGTACGTTAGATTTTTTTCTTAACACATATATATAAATAGTATATAAATAATCTATATAAACAATATATAAACAAAATAAGTAGTATACAGTCAAACCTCGATATAACGAATCTTTTGAGCTGGAAATTTTTTTCGTTTTTATTTTTCGTCTCTGTCTTTAATATCATCACTTTTTTTATTTTTTTATTTTTATTATTATTAACGATATTTCTTTTGTTATTATCAGAAGGTTGTGTATGTATTAATGAATTCATTTGCAAATTTGATGCAGTTATTCTTCTTTTAAGATGTTAAATATGGTAAATTTCAAGACAAGAAAAATTCAAAAAACTGTTAACGTTAAGATAAAGGTGAAAATGATACTCAAGAATCTTTAGACATTGTTGGTTCTTTAGTAATCATGCGAAACTTAATACAATCATACCTTTCTACAATCATTCTTTATCAAATTATTATTATATATTTTTGTATATTTGGTTTATTCAAATAATTATTAAAAAAGTCAAAAAAACAATTATAAATGATATTCTTCACAAACAAATATGTATTGCTAATCTCACAAAATTTCAATAAAATATTGCAAATTACTTTGGAATTGAACAAATAATAAACATATAATGGCAATCAAAAAAAATACAACAGTATTAAAATTTATAATAAAATACAGAAAAATCCACATTTTATTGTGTTTTATTAAATTTTTTTTGACAAAGTAATTGCAAAAATTTTTTATAATTAATTTTACATTTTAATTATAAAAAATTTTTGCAATTAGAACAACTTTGTCAGAAAAAAATCTAAAAAATCCAGAAAAGATATATGTTAAATTATAACTTATGATCTTTGTTTTAATATAAAAATGAAAAATATTTATTAATAAAATTGAAAACTTTTATATAAGACAAAAATTTCAATTTTTATTATGTTTTATTAATAAAA